AGCATATTTCGTTCCATTGAGCGTTGTGTAGTTTTGCGTGCATAGGCCATGGTAGTACACATTGATCGAATGTTTTTATTGTAGATAAACTGGTATTCTAGATTTGAATATGATGATATTGTACTTTATGCTAATTTAATTCCTCTGTAGATTTCTGGTAGTCGAGATCCTGACCTGCGTATATAGTATTATGTACTCATCTACTATTTCGAGTGCTATTGAAACTATAATTACTAAAGAGTAAATATTTTTTATTGGAATAATAGAATAGTATGGAGAGCCAGAGGCATTTTATTTTATAAGCCCTTATTTTGTTTAGATTATCTGAATTTAATTTGTCAACTAAACTTTCTCATTAACTGCCGTCTTTCTTGATAAGACCTTAAAAGGACTATATATATTTTCAGCAAAAAAAAACTTAAAATAGTTTTTAAAGACAGACTGCTCGGTTTCCTATTCAGACCGTTTTACTTTATGTTGGATTCAAACGTTTATTTTCAGAGAAGCTTTGATAAAGTTCCGTTAAATACTTCTATAATCTAATACAATCTTGAAGCTTGTAAACCGAATAGAAAAACAATTCTTCATTCAAATTTAATTTGTCAGTATAATAAATTACTTTTAACAAAAAAAAGTTTTAAAGGAAAATTAAAAAATTGGGTAACTCTATTTTCTTTTTTAATAAACTGTTATTTTATAGAAACAGTTTTTCTGATTTTCTGTACGAAAAAATAAAAGGGCGAATTAGATATCTTTGTCCCCGCAATGTAAAATGTCAAATTTTGATGCCTTCACAAGGGTAAAGTAATTCTGTGCCGCAAACCCCAGAGCGTATTGGCAAGGGTAGGAAATAACAATTTAAACAAATCCTCAATTGCTTTTGGACGAAAAAAGGCAATAATGATTTTTTTTGCTGTGGTTTACTGTCAAGTTCAAGGATTCGACTAAAGCTATAATGTAAAAACAGTGCGGTCAAAAAAGTTAAATTGTCTAGATTTTGATGGAAATATTAAAAATATATTTTTATTAACTCCCTGAAAAATTATACATACACGATAAACAATACATAAACGATAAATAAACTAGGGCCATTTCATTATATTTATGTCTCGCAATTTGTGAGTCCTATCTATCAGATACTCTTAATAATTTATTAGCATCTACTATACGCTTGGCATAAATTGTTTTTCAGTTAATTCCGCGCAATGGCTGAAATGGCTAAATTCAGGCCCATACAGTTCATCTAATCTATAGTTTGATCACTCTGAACGTTTTTGTAGCCCTTAAAATAAGTCTAAAATGAACATAATTTTGTATGATTGTAATTTTTTTGTTCGTTTGATGAATCAATGAGTATTTATTTAACTAAGCATCATATACCTTGATAAGTTGTTACCCAGAGTAGGGGATTATCGTTGCCTAATTTATTCAGCTTTTCTAAGCATTCTATGGCCAACTTCGCACTTAAGGTAACTTTTATTCTTAATTTTTTTTTCGAATTACTAAGTGCTTAAATGCACTGACGAACAGGTCGCAGCGACCAGCATTTAATTTGATTGTATTACTGGTTTGATTTACTGTTATCATTTGATATATTAATGGTCGCTGCGACCTGGTGGTCAGTGCGTTTGAGCTAAAGCACTTGGAAGAAAATTATAATAAATTGAAAAAAAAACATTTTAACCCCCTGTAGCTACGAAACAAAGCAGAATCGAACCATGTTGATATAAAAAATAAAGAATTTTACGTGAAGAATCTCCCCAAGTGTATTTTAGAACTTGTTTTTAATTAACTTTTACGCACATAAATATTTTTTTCTTAAAATCCTAACTCTACTATGAACAGAAATCTATGGTAAAACAAAAAAATACAAAATGGATCTTGCCAATCAGATAACAGTTATTAATGGCAATTTGATATAAAATGAACTATTGTTGTACTCTATTAAACCAAAGAAATTTGGCTGTATGCAAAATTTTAACAGAACTAATAATTTAGAGACCTTATCACGCGACTATACACGAAAGTGTTTCATGGACAACCCGACAAAAAGAACTTAATAATACATATAGTGTTGTTCTTTAAATTAATAATTTTTTGTTTAATAATTCCACTTAATTGTTACACTGGATATTTTCTAAAAAGAAAATCAATAAACAGCTTGAAAAATAAGCCTGAGATTCAAGCTCAAACCTCTAAATTGAAAGAATTATGGGTTTATTATCTAATAAATTTGTTAAAGTAGCTTTGTGGTAATAAGAGGCCAGAGAAAGAAAGCACGTAGAGGAAAATTCACTTAAGAACATAAAAGTTTGGCGTTTTAGTTTTAAATTTACTTTTCGAGATGTGAAATGGCCGTCCAAATATAAAGAAGCTATAGTTTATTAATTATTAATATCCTTCGATCGAATGATTTTGGCCATTGTGTTATTTTGTTTGTAGTTGTGCATCAATGTTGTAGCCAGTTTATTAACATTCAATTCAATTATTTCTTATTGTTACGAATGAAAGATACGTTAAACATAACCATTTCTGTCCAATATAGTTAAATATCTGCCAAACATTATACATTGTACCTGAAGATCCACTGAGAGTTAATTTAAAAAAAATCAGAGCAATGATTCTCGATTTAGTTTCTACTATAAAAGTTTTTGTTATGTCACAATTAATTTTTTACATATGTTTGCGCTGTATAATAAATTAAAATAACTACACAATTTGTTCTTCGCTATATACAAGCTGAACTAGTAGATTATACCATCTTTAACTAGGTTTTAAATTACCAATAGTATTCCGAATTAGCCTCAGTTCCTCTATAATAATACAAAAAAAAACAATTATTTTCAAAACAAGGTTGCCAGTAAGGAAAAGTAACTCAAAAATAAATCGAAAGTTAAGTGAGTGAGAGAAAAAATATGAACTCTTGAAAAGCAAGTCTCCGATATGGCTCGCAATATATCAGGAGAAATATTGTCAACTAAAAGATGAAGGGGCCCAAGAAAAAGTAACTATAAATAAAGTTAGACAGAATTCCCTTAGGTATTTATTCCTGAACCGGTTTATCCCTTACTTGATTTTTTTATAAAAGTGAATAAAACTTAGTTTAAATATTAAGAAGCGTACCGGATATTTTTCGTGCTATTGCGAATTTTTGTATGGCAAGGCAAGCCCGTAAAGGAGTATTGCACATATTGTAAGACTTAAAAAGAAATATTCCACATATTCGAAGCAAAAACATAAAGACTTTGTGTTCGCCTAGAATTCACATATGCAGAGTAAGAGATTTTGTCGTCACATTGCTAACGGATTTTTCAAAAGGAAACAACGACAAATCAAATAGAAAAACACTGCGTTACCTTGAACCACAATCTATATACAGTGTATTTTATAACTAACAATAACCAATCTGTCGGTTTCTTTTTTTTTATGTATAAAAATTTTTAATCTAATATATAAAATTCTCGTGTCACAGTTTTAGTTACTTAACTCCTCCGGGACGGCTTGACTGATTTTGATGAAATTTTATATGTATACTAGCAGACCTGGCCACGCGTTGTTGTGGCTGCTGTGGCTAAGGTCAGTGATGCGCAAGTACCCGGTATATTGATATTTGGGTAAATACCATTATACCCGGTATATACCCAATCAACGTGAGTACGTTTCGAATTTAAGGTGTTCTAACAATTTGTTGTTAAATTAAAACTGTTGTAGAAGAGTACAAGTTTACGGTTGAATGTATTTTTTAATGCCACATCTATAAAAATAAAAAAAATTCTCCAAGAAATAAAAAAAATTGGGGTGGACCACATTTATCACTTAAGGGTATAAAAAATAGATAACAATCTATTCTCAGACCTACTGAATATACAGACATCTAAAATTTCATCAAAATTGGTCAAGCTCATAAAAAAAAACAATATTATATGGCAAAACAACGTTTTCCGCGTCAGCTAGTTTCTCTATATTATGTAAGTTCATAAGTTTTGATTTTTGGACAAGAAAATATTTTATGACATTTGATGTTATGACATTTTATGGATCTTTTAAAAACAACCAATTAATAATGTGCTGGTAAGTTTATTAAAATATTTACAACATAATCTATATTACAACCTGTTAAAGGCAGGGGCATTTTAAAGAGCAGGAAAAATTTTATTTTGTAATCAAATTACAAAGTGAAACTTTTAATGGTATTTAAGATATTAATTTAATTAAGTACATGACAAAGTAAAATGTTAAGATGGCAGAGAAAAGCGAAATCAAAGAGTTTGTTTACTCTTTTCGAGAAGTATAATAACGAAAACAAGGATTGACAAATTAAATTATCTTTTTTTTATGCAAAAAGTAATTTGGTTAAAAGTCGAAAGATTCGCTTTTAATATTTTTTATGCTTAAACATAAGGTAGTTTAATCAGCAAGTATATATTTTTTTTCATTATAAGGGATACCTCAAATGATATACGAGTATATACTGTGTGGTATAGAATTATAGAATAGACATTTTCATACAAACTGAAAGGAATTCTTAACAATTCGATAGTAATTTGCACCTCCACGTAAGTTTTGACATTCTGTAGTTTTTCGTGGCATGATGCTAATCAGAATGGATCGATATCTTCCTGTGGTAGGAATCTTGCATTTGTTGAAGGTAGGCCAATGCGACAGGTTGTTATTAATTTAGTATTAAGAGTTCATGTTTTTGGAAAAAAAAACTAGATGTGACCAGCTTCCATCTGTTATAGCACCTCAAACCATAACGCATAAAGACTAGGATAAAAATGTTATTGTATACTACTTACTTTATAGTAAGTAATTAAAATATTAGAAATATAGCTAAGTATATACTGGGTGTTGCAATTTCTATGTTATACAGTCGTTACTAGTAAAAACTCATATTAACTAAATTTGTTAGCAGGGTACTGCTAGATATTAAAAGTTGTAGATGTATTTATTAATATATAATAAATTTTTTGTCCTTTTTAATGTTAAGCTGTACTTACCAATATTTTTTTCTCGTACTCTTCCTCAATTTCCGTGCCATTGTAGAAGAGTTGTTCAGTGTTGGTAGTGTTGGGGAAGTAAAACCCTGTTTCACAGTTGCATGTATAACTTCCACGGCGAAATCCTAAACCGGCAATAGGTATGCACTGAAAAGAACATGAGAAATTATTATCGTTATATCTTACGAGTAATATAGAGAAAAATGAAATTATTTTATCCTCGAATCACAGAACTGTGAATAAAATTATATTGCATATATGTTTTGTTAGTGATGTTAATATTTCAGAAATTTTTGATTGTTGCAGAAACTTTCGGAAACTTTCGGAAATTTATGAAATTTTAGTAAATTTTACAATTTTACATATTTTTTGATGATACAATAAAGGAATAAATTAGATAGACATTTGATACCAACATGTAAGTGAAAAAAAATAAACAAAATATTAGTTGTTATATTTTTAATAAACAATACATAACTCATAAAAGTCATAAACATAACACATAACAAAAATCATTTGGAAACGTTTGTACTTTGTACATAAACCATGAACTATGACTATGAACTTAAAAAAAAATAAAAAAGCACGAAATATAAATTTAAAAAACGTAAAACACAAATAACTGAATTATTCTATTCCGGAATACTTTCAGGCGCCGAGCTGGTCCCATCTTCATAGGGTATTATAGTAGTAGTAGTACTGTCTTCGTCAGTCTCTATATCCAAATCAGATATATTTGATGTATCATCTGGTTTTGATTCAGAAGAAAGGTTGTTGAATATCGTGCTCCATATCCACTTTTTGTTTTTGTAGTAATAATTTATTGTTATGAGCTACGAACATTATTTTGCCGGCTCTTTGTGCAGTTAATCGATTCCTTTTTTTAGTATGGATAAAACTGTAAGTAAACTTCTCTCAGTGGCTGCAGATGACGTTGGTAAAGACAGCAGAGCAACAACTAAATATTTCAACTGAGTATTTTTACACATTGCTTGCCACCAACTTAGACAGTCTACATTTTTAACTGATATCCAAACGTAGTCGAGAGCCCATAAACCCGATTTGGCGCAATAATTTGTTACATCTGTAAAAATGGCTTCTTTATTATTGACAAACTGAGGATGCTTGTTGGTGATATTGTTGATAAATTCCATAGCGGCTATGTGTTAGCCATTGTTAAGTTGCTCTCCCAGGAAACAGAGGGGTCCAAGAGATTCGCGGTAAAATGCATTGGTTTAAGGGCCATACGTTTTCTATTTCGTAATGCTGAGAAGCATTCTCTTTCCTCTGATTTAAGAATAGGCATACTTGATACACTTTCGTTAAATTTTTGCTCAATGTCTTGAATTTTGAAAAGAAATATCTTGAAAAATTCGGTTTTTGGCGAATATTCGCGATTTTGGGACCGAATATTTCGGAAATTTCTGAAATTTCCTGCAAAATTCGAATGGAAATATTCGCTACCAACATCACTAGGTTTGGTTCATTCTCCGCCGGTGCTGCCACCATCGAAGAACATCATAAACAGTCAGTATATACAAATACACGAGTTTAAAAAGCGAGTATACGAAAAAAAGTTTATATAATTATTCTAAAAGTGTTAAAAATAAAAAAGTAAATATTTTGACACCTTCAGAAGGTATAACTTGTATTATAATTTATTATTGAAGCTAAAAAAACTTTTTAGACGAGTTCAACTACTAATTGGTTAAAAATTAAAAGAGTATACCATTAATATTGCAAATTATATTTTATCCTCTTATTGTACAGTCTGACAAACGGATCTGAAACAACGGAGCAACGGTAAGGGGATCGCAATTTTGTGAAATGAACTAAAATCTATTCAATTTATAGGTAATATTGAGCAACTTTGCTTTTCTATTATTAAACAACGAGTGACAACGTCGACTTTTTTTGCCCGAATTCCTCTTGCTGTTTTAGTTCCGTTTGTCAGACTGTATATGTCTATTTAATTTTTTTGATTATAAAATGGGCTTTTTTTTGAATTTTTTTAAAAATTTTGTTTACTCACTTAATTGTCTCGTCGAATTGCTTGAATCCATTTTTGCTTTTGATCAAATTAGTTTGAGAAGCTGTGAAGCCATAAAATGTTGATTCGAGAGATTCAAATATTCGGGAAAGTTGAGTTATTGAATGTTATTGCACCCAACAACCACGTAATAACGCCCTCCTTTACGCGTTAACATGTTTTCAACAATTTTATTAACATTGGATATTGCCAGAACACAATGCGGCGCCCAGTTCGAGTTCTTTTTCACTTAATTTTTACTACACGAAACTGCGTTACATCACACAAACCTCGTACCTGGGTGTTTTATAGTTTCAATAACTGCACTAGCAAAAAACTAAAATATTTGACAAAGCCACGATTTCAATATTATATTAATGGGAACAACTTTTGTATTTCAATAGTTGTAGCTAAGAAATGTATCATATTTATATTACTTGATCCTAAACACGAAAATAATAAAAATCGAGAGTAAAATGTTATTAAAATAAATTTCTATTGCTGATTAATAAATTGCCTCTAATAATAAATCGTAAATAAGCAGTTAAAATACAATAGGAATCACTAGACTTTATTATGCAAATAAAGTAAATTTTCGTGGTGATTACTATGAACGTTTTGTTAAATATCACGAAAATAAATATACTTGTACATTTCGAACGAGGATTACACTACGTATCAATTTTCCAACCAAAATAAAATGCCACGTCTCAAGTCAGATAATGATGTCTAGCTCAGATAAGAGAAACGTACATTTCTCACTCCATTAAATGAAACTGCAACACCTTTCACCTCAATAATACAGAATCTAGTCTAACGCTGCTTAAATATTGCTCAACTTTCGAACTTCGTCAACTTTAATAATGGAAAGACTTTCGGAAAAGTCGCTTTGAATCTATTTAAAATATGTTTGTTCTTTGGCTTTTCATTCATTAAAAATTTAACTAAGATTTTCTTGTTAATAGCTAGTCATGAATAATACTAATTTTCCGGAACATTATTCATGAACTAGATAGTTAAAACGTTTAGTTAAACATATGTTTATATGCAGTACTATTTTTTTAACATCTAAAAGCTTTTTAAACTGTCGTGCTGAAACATAAAAGCGCATTTATATTTTTCTTCCGTTAAAGGAAATGTTTTTTCATAAAAACAGAATAGCTTGCTGAACAAAATGTTTCTTTTTTGCTGATGCGTTGCTCATATATGTGAATTTTAAACTCAAAAACATACTTGCTTTTATAATTTAATATGTAACTATTAAAATAAATTTGGGACACTGTTTTAAGTGAGTAGAATTAGTTTAGGACCTTTTAGAGAACCCGATTGTTCTACATAATGCCCGGTTTACATGTGTTTAGTAATTTAGTATGGTAAAGTAATTTAATAGAAAAACATTTTGTTAATACTAATCAGTTGGTTAACAGCAAAATGTTCATATGTAACTATTAGTTTAGTATCTAAAACTAGAAACGAAGAATGTATAGAATGTATAATAATTATAAACCGCAATCTGAAATAATAATGAAATGAAAGTTTTTAAAAATCTTACAAATAATTGTGAAAAAACTTGTATTCTAAACCAGACAAAAAGTAGTCTATGAATCCGTTTGATAATTATATATATGCCACTACTTAACTAAATTGCTGGACACCTGTAAACCAAGCCATATATGTTGATCTAAACATAGTTAGTAATTCAGCCAAGTAATTTAGTACATAATACAAGTTTGGTTTGAATTTTTAATTGTAGAATACTGAAATTTAGTTGATCAGTTATTGCGCTACTTGATCTTAATCTTAGTAAAATCTTTGCCTAATGGTGATGGTGGAAATCTAACTCTTGCAAAGGAAATTCAATTTTATTTTCTTTATTATTTCGCAAAGTTTTAAAATATTATAGAGGGAATTATACTTTATGTACCTCCTTTTTTTTACAAAGAGATTTAAAAGTTTTTGAGTTAAAGTTTAACTTTTATCTTCATTTTAACGCTCATTTAGAGTTTTAAATTTGTATTTTTTACAACGGCAGCTCATTTCTTTTTTAAGTTTTATTTCCAAACGAAGTAACATGAAATAATAATTTATTAAAATAATAAAATAATGAATGTTAAATTTAACGGCTTTTCTTTTATAAAAGAAAGTTTCTTAAATTGTTTAACGCAAATGATTTTTAAGAATCTATATGGATTGTGCTTAGGAAGTGTGATCCTAACTGAAATAAATTTTAATTAACTAAAATACGGTGAGTCAAATCAAAAAGCGAAATTAAGATGGGTACTTTGCTGGAGAGAATTATCGTACGATGCGAGAGAATGCAGGTAATTGAATAATTGGATAATGACATACAACTAAGGCTCTAAGCGCGCGGGTATCAACTTAGAATTAATACCAGTAATGCACTATTTCCGAGTTGGTAACGACAATTCTACCTCTGCATTTCATCGTTTATATATAGATGAAAATATTTTACATATGATTACTTTAAATATGTCTAAAGCTTCATTCAGAACCTCAAAATTAGTGTATAAATAAGTTGCTTCAATTATACTTTTTACTTAAGAATTTACGACCTTACCCATTCACAATGTCTAAAAAATACAGTTAAAATTAATAGAATATATTACTACTACCGGTAATTTCGGTAATTATTAAAAGAAATCCGTCTGTCTGTCCGTCCCACCCCGATTAAGATCGGACATCAACTTTTAACGTTATTTATTTCAAAAGTGGAATACTGGTGGAAACTGGAAACAATTGGAAATACTGGTACTCTTAACAAAGACAGTGCCTAAATTAAGTGTTCCATCCTATTTCCAATTGACTTCGGAAAAACTATAACTAGCATCTTAAAGTTCAAAATAAAAAAAGCGGACGCGAACGCTATTGATATTGACGAATTCGTTAATTCTAACTGAGTCTCCAGAAAGGTCAAAGTTGAATTGCGCTAATATTCCGGTTTCTTCAACACTGGCAGAAACTCTGTTGTCGATTAAGGCAAATCTGTTACATTCAGTGAGAAAAAAAACAGAAGCCAACCAAGCTTAACAACAAGGCTGTAAACATCTATGTTTATTGCCCAAAGCTAGAAAACAGAAATGCAATATTTTCAGCAACA